AGCACAGGTTTGCTGCAGGAGGCAGAGGAAGGAAGGTGAGGGACCCAGCATGATGCCCAGGTCTGCTCCCACCCGAAATGCTGTGGAAATCCTGGCTGTTTCCAGTTCCCAAACCACCCCCAGGGATGTTCCGATTCCCAAATCCCCATCCTGGCCTCGCTCTCCCTGACTTTCAGACCACAGGGGATGTGCCCTGCAGCATCACCCCCATTCCCCAACTCCATCCCGGTCCAGAGGCGGCACCGCTCACCCCGTGCACGTTCAGCCTCCGGGCATCGCCTTTCAGGACCACCTGAGGGAGAAAAAGAGGCGAAAAAATCAACACCAGGGGGGTTTTTTGCCAACAGTAGCCAAAATGGGAGCCGAAATGAGCCAGGCAGGGGCAGGTCATGCTGCTTTTGGATGCACCCAGCTGGGACAAGCACCATCGGTCCCCACTGCACCCCCACCCAACTCCTGCTCGGCCCCGAATCGCTGTGGGTGCGTGCAGAAAACAACCATCGACTTTACCTCCTTGTACCCGAACCGCTCGCTCTGAGCCTGGTGCCGCAGTTTGCTGGAGATTAAGGGAGAAAAAAAGGCACTGTCAGTTTTCACAGCATCCTCCAGGGTCACATCAGAACCAAAATACACAGCCAAAATATTCGGGAGGCGCCCAAAATCAGGGGAACGCGCCGTTTCTGACCGGGATTTGGGGATAAGCAGCTCTGAGGCCGCGGTGCTGCGGGCCCAGCCCAAGGCCGTGCCACAGGAATCGGCACTGGGGAGCGATAAGGGCCGGCAGCCCCGATTGTTTGCCTTAGGAAGTCGTTCGCGGCGCAGGAAACGCCGAATTTCCAGCACTTGCAGCTCCCAGCCCCGCTGCAACCTTGGCCGGGGAACACGGAGAAACCCACGGGGAGATGGGGATCATTTGCGTGGGAGCTTCTCCTCCAACCACGGCACCGAGACGGGCATCCGCAGTCCCAAAAATGGCTGAGAGCTGCATGGGACAGTGATGGAGCCAGGGGATCCCGCAGGGAAGGACTGGGCTGCCCCAGCTGCTGGATTTGGGTGTAAAAATAGCATTCCCTGAGTGTAAAGACACATCCTCTGCCGTGCTCCTTCCCTGCCCCACACAATGCCTCCCTCTGCGCCGTCCCCTCACACACAGGAGCCCCTTCCTGCGTTTCCTGCCCCGCTCTGGCATGGGCACCGCGGGGACCACCACTGTCGGGGATGACAATGGCCCCGCTCCTCAGTGCGGAGCCTTGGGATGAGTTATAGGGGACTGGAGGTGCTCCAGGGATGCTGACCCACCCCCCCCCCCCCCCCCCTGTGATAGC